TCCCCTCAAGACTTCATGAACTCCCTACAGGGAAAGTCCCACACACCCCTTCCTATGCCCCATTCTTCCGTTTTCATGGGAGAACATTTATGTGCCTGGCCTTGTGAGGGCCCGTGCAGACAGGCACAGCTGCTCTGATTTCAAGAGGCCAAAAGCCATGCGGTATAAAAGATTTCTACAGCAAGCATGCCTCCCCCTACATGGGGCACTTCGGTGGCCAAAAGGCTGTAATTTCTCAAATAAAGCATGAGAAGCAAACAAGTCTGTGACGCCCCGGCCCATCTCCAGACTGGATCTTTCATCTAGCGTCTCTACTTGATTTCAGTGACTGTCACTTCACACATGCCGAAGGCCATACATCTCCCCTGCAAACCTGTCCTCTTATGTCACAGTGATTGAGGCCATCAGGCACCCATCCAGCTACACACACTAGAAACTCCGCCCTCTTTGACCTCCTCCACCTTTCACATTTACCCCTGAAGCAGTCCTTTCTCTCTCTACAATTCCCATAAGATCCCAACCGGAGAGCCTAGGCTCCCCACTGCCAATGCTGGCCCTGCTGTGGCCCATTCTGTCTTCTATGATGAAGCTGGACGTATCTCTGTGAAATATGTGGTTGAGTTACACAGAGGCTCAGTCTGCAGTATCACTAGGCAGCTCTGAAACATACCACATCCCCAAGCTAACAAAACAATAATGTAACCCCTTTTCTCTTAAAACTAGATGTCCATGAAGACTTTGGGATGGTTTGAGAGCTCCGTAGGCTCCTGTATTTAAATGCTTGCTTCCCTGTTAGTGGAATTGTTTGGGAAGGATTAGGTGTGACCTTGTTGAAGGTGTGTCACCGGGGGTGGGCTTTGAGGTTTGAAAAAGACCATACCTTTCCCAGTTAGCTTTCTCTTTCTGCCTCATGTTTGTGGATCAAGATGTGAGCTCTCAGCTACTGCTCCAATGCCATCCTGCCTGTCTGTTGCCATGCTCCCTGCTATGATGGAAATGGACTCTCACCCTCTGGAATGGTGAGTTCCAAATTAAATGCTTTTCTAAATTGCCTTGGTCATGGTGTTTTGTCCCAGCAACAGAACAGTATCTAAGACAGGCTTGAGAGCCCGAAATGCGTGCATAATGCTTGTGATCTCTACACACCATGGTGTGACTTTCTCTGGCTCTTGAATTCTCACCCTAGGGCTTTAGCACATACAGTACTCTCTCAGTGAACTCTCCTCTACCTTGCCACTTAGTCAACTCTGGTTATTCATTCACATCTCAGTGCAACTGCCAATTCCCTAGGAAAAGCTCCTGACTGGGTCAACAGGTCCAGCATCCCTCCCTCCCCCAAAGACAGTATCACATAGCTAAGGCTGGCCTTATCTGTGTAGTGGAGAATGCCCTTGAATGTCTGACCCTCCTGCCTCCACCTCTCAGGGTTCCAAGTGTGCATCACACCACATGATTTATGAGGCACTGGAGGTTGAGCACAAGGCCTTGCACATGCTGAGTACTCTTCCATGGAGCATACCTCTAGTCCCACTTTGACAGGTTCTCCATTGCCTAGGTTGGCCCTGAACCAGCAGATAGAGAAAAAGCAGGACCACCTCAGCCTCAAAATGGGTTGGGCACGTGGTTCAGTGGTAGAGTACTTGGCCCAGCATGCATGACTCCTATAATATTAAAAAGCTGCAGTCTGTGTCCTCAAGAACTCTAGAAAGATGGCCCAAGCCTCAGAGTTCAAGTCCAGCCTGGGCAACACGGAAAGAGCTTTCCCCTCTCTCTCTTGGTTTTTTGAGACAGGGTTTCTGTTTAGTCCTGACTGTCCTGGAACTCTGTGGAATAGGCTGGCCTCAAACTCAGATCTGCCTGTCTCTGCCTCCAGAGTGCTGGGATTAAAGGTGCGCACCACCATGCCCAGCTCCAGAGGCCTGTCTTAAAACAATGGCAGATCACCCTAAGGGGTGAAGTACAATGGGAAAGGTCACTTTAAAACAGAAGGCCAATGTGGACCACCAAAAGAGCAAGGCGCCTGGAAGGTGGACAGCAGGCGGCAATGCCCCACCTTGGTGAGCCTGTGTTTAGATGTGAGAAGCACAGACTAGCTTTGTCAGACCTATATGCCCTGTTGACTTGCCTGTTTCTACCAGTCAAGACTGTCCCCCACAGACACACAGAAACCGTCTCCCTGAATCAATCAGCCAGATCCTCCCTTTCCCCAACCAACCAATGCCAGTCACTCTTTGCTTTGCAAGCCCCTCAACCATAGACCTCACAAAAAAAACTTTAACCCCATGACTGACTGGAGAAAAAAGGGGTCCTGGGTTCCAACTTGGCCTTGTATGCCCATGTTCTTGGTAGGCTTGAAGGACCTGAAGATGAACGTGAGATTGTAATCCATCTTCCTCCTGGCTTCCTGACACTTCACAACAGAGCCATACAAAGGATGGGAGATAGCCAGGCAGTGGTGGCACCTGACTTTAACCTCAGCACTTGGGAGGCAGAGGCACTGTGACATGCTAAGAGAACTTTAGGAACTAGACTACACAGTCCAGGCATGGTACCAAAACATGGTCTGCGAGCGCCACCTAGTGGGATTATCGGCTGCTATAGCACAGGATCTTTGTGCCCCAAGGGCAGCCTGGACACACACATTTAGCAGGGCCTTAGAAATGATCTCTGCAGGTAAAACTCGCTTTTCCGTAACCCTATGTTACTAAGTAATTTGCTACTCGAATCCCCCTCCTTTTTGCTGAGTCTATGTATTTAAACTGGCTATAGCCCAGGCTGGTCTCCAGGGGCTGAGACCCTTACTTACTCAGTTTCACGCTTACATGACTTAAAAGCTTCAATTATACATTAGTTACTTCAGTTCAGTGTGATGAGCCCCTTCCTTCCACACAGGTTAACTCACCACCCACCACACAGCAATAATTTAACCCTTCCCTGCTTCCTTTTTATGGTAAGCTGCTACAACTGAGTATTTCTGTATTTAGAAAACCTCGTGTGTACATGCCTGTGGAGCCAGACATTTGCTCTCACCAAACCTGGACCCTGCTGTTTTAGCTGGGTTGGCCAGGCAAGCAGTCTATATCCCCAGCCTAGATACTTGAGCTGGCCTTCTGTGGCCCACATGGTGTTGTCCTGAGCCCCACAGGCAGGCCACACCACATGTACAGACACATATTAAAGCATCAATTTTAGAAACTGCAGCAACTGCAGCAGCCTGACTGTAAAGGCAGCACACACTGCCCAGCTGGCACTGCCCTGCCATCTAGCAAGCCCGTCTGTGGAGTGGGAAGTGTGCTTTCATCCAGGGGCACTCCACTGACAGTGACAAGCCTTCCGCCCAACCAACCCTCCTACCCTGCGCCCAACCAACCCTCCTACCCTGCGGGGCTTCATCAATGCTGCCAGATGGTCCATTATTCTTCGGGCAGGCACAATAGAAGGATGGCTGACAATCAGCAGACTTCACAATGATGACACATTGTTCACCAATTAATTTGCCAGGGCAGATTTTTTTTTTCAGTTGACAAATTATACTTAAGCCTTTCTAATACTTTAAAACCCACTCAGACACAGACACAAGGGTTACGAGATATTTGAGAAACACCTCCTAACATGAAAGGTACCAATTACTTTAAAAGCAGACAACTATGGAAGATATATCAGATTACCCAGGGTGATAGGGACTGCAAAGAAATACTCAAATCTGCCATTCTTAGTTCCAAGAGTTCAAGGTCAGCCTGTGCAACTAACTTACTAAGACCCAAGGTGTTTTTTGTTTGGTTGTTTTTATCCTTTAAAAAAACAAAAACCAAAAAGCTTGAAATTTAGAGCTGAGAAAATATGCCGGAAGCTGGGAAAGAATACCACCCCTTGTGTTGGCTGAACATCCTGCCCCTAAAGGGACATCAACTGTATGCATCTACTGCTTTCTTTGTGGCGAGGGAATTAGTGCAAAGCACTTTATACTCCAGCAGTCACATCACACATAGGCATTGTCTTCTTGTAAAAAGGTAGTTTGGTTATACCGCAGGCAGGATGACTTCTAGCCTAGTTTTTTCAGTAATTTCTTCAAGGAAAACTAGTTCAATCAGAGGAAAACAGCCATAGTTAAAGCTACTTAAGCTTAGACTTTTAAAACAAACAAAACCACATCGGCCTCCAGCAAATTCAATTTCCCCGTGGTATGGCAGCACACACTTCTGTCATCCCGTCACTCAGGAGGCGAAGACAGAACTGTGAAGTTTGAAGCTGCCCTTGTGCTACATAGTGCTTTTTAGGCCAGGCTGGGCTACAATGTCAAACAAATAACAACAAAACCCCAAATCTAACCAATAGCTTTTAATTCCTGGACAGGTTCATCCTCACTCTGAAAGCTGCATTGCACAAACTCATGCAATACTCTCTAACTGGCTGTCAGGCAATTCACAGCTAAATGACTATTTTTAGATAACACTGCAAGTTAATGTTAATTCATCGAATTTAAATACAAGGCAGCAATGTACAGTAGGCCGAGGCAGAGAGGAAGAGTATATGATGACTTCTGTCATTTGCAACCATTTGGCAGACAAAGCAACTATAATCCCCAGTGACCTGGTACCTTAGCAACCACTAGATCCATTAGTTCCTACGTATAGTACTATCAGTTTAGCAAGGTTTGCTGGAATAGCAAGTGCCAGAAGCAGGCAGGATGAAACCAGTTTACCTCTTTTAATGACCAGCCTACAAACTACTCTATTACCTAAACAATACTGTTTAAACCTAATGTATCCTCCTGGGGAAACACACTAAGAATGAATTTCCTATCAGGTTACCCAGTTACAAGAAACTGAAGTGTTGATTTTCATTTCAGCAGGTCAAGACAGTATAGTAATTACCGTTTTTTTTGTTTTTTTTTTTTTTTTTAGAATCTATACTGATTAATTTATACTGAATAGTGAGTGATACACTTCACCCAAGTTTAAAAAGGTGGTCCCATGAATATCCACTCATCAAAACCTTCATTGTGCTAGGCAATTCCCAGATCACTTTACTTTTAATAGATTCTGAAAGAACGTGGGCAATATACACACAATCAATTCATAAAATTTCACGTCTATTTCATGATAGAAGCCATCAAAGTAAAGCATGAGGAATAAAAACATTTTATCTGTGTATTCAGAATCACACACAAGTTACCTTTACAGTTCAATTTACTATATATAGAAATCATTTGGGTTTTATAATTTCAATTAAGTTTTGAACTGAGATTACAATATCATATAAAAAGATTTTACATTAATTATTCTTAAGCATTCCAAATTGAAATACATAGGTTACCTTTAGATTTATAGCAAACAGTCTTCAAATACAATACACTCTACGCTTACCTATCATTCACAGGTGAGATTTGCGACTCTGGACTGTTTTACACACAACCACTCTCCTATGCAGATGGCAGAATTGACAGGCTACAAAGCCCAAGCCCGTACAGTCACACCAAGGACTCAAGTTGTATCATCCTTTTAAAGTTTTGGCATTTCTGGACCACAACAACGCATAATACAAAGGAGGTAAGGAACACTTCCTCCTCCTTGTTAGTTCAAAGTTACATGGTAGCTTGGAATTTTGACTAAAACCCCTTATTACACCTTGGAAAAAAGTCCAAGGGCAACTAGATGACAATGGACTGGGGTTCTTAGTTCTTTTTCTAATTAATATAACCCATGATATTCAAGTGGGCAATAGTCAAATCAAAAATATTAAGCACCTACTGGTTTGAGATTGAAATTAGAGATTCATGATCAATTGCTTTCCACCTTGAAATCAAGGTGGAAACCCAGCTATTGAAGTGCATCCCAAACAATCCTATGTAGCACAGGTAGAATGTTCTGTCCATTGGCACCAAAGTGAAGTCACATTTCCTCTTGGGGACAGAACTTCCACTTGTGAACATAGAGTGAGGAAAAGTGACCCCTGTGAGTTGTCTCATTCCTACTGTGATTCTGAGACCTAGGATTAACACACTAGCAGTGAACAAAGCAAATTCCTGGCCAGAGTGTCAGGTTAGTGACGCTGACTCCCTCCCCACCACCAAGCTTTAGCTGCGAAAGAACTACTAAGCTGAACAAAAGGGAAATAACAGGAAACTAAAGGACCAGGTTCGAGGCAGTAAGGAAACCCCTCTGATTGGATGCCATTACAAGTGAGCAACTGAAGAAAGTGTGCTTCACCTCCCAAAGGCCTCTGCATGTCAACGTCTGTGCGAAGGGGCCTCGGGACTCTGGAAATAGACATAGCCCTTCTTTAAGGTCGGGGTTCTGCAGTCCTCTGCAGCCTCATTCCCCTCCCCACCAAGTTTTCAGTGTTTAATAAAATCTTCTCTATCGGCCAAAAGATTTGTGACTCAAAGGTTTACTAAAGTACTCTATGCATCCTATCTATACAGAAACACCTACCATTATTACAATTGCTTTATGCAGGATTAACATTTTTGGTGTTTTGTTTTGTTTTTTTGTTTTTGTTTTTTCGAGACAGGGTTTCTCTGTGTAGCTTTGCGCCTTTTCCTGGAACTCACTTGGTAGCCCAGGCTGGCCTCGAACTCACAGAGATCCGCCTGGCTCTGCCTCCCGAGTGCTGGGATTAAAGGCGTGCGCCACCACCGCCCGGCAACATTTTTGGTGTTAAAATTGTTAAACATCATGCTTACTGCACATCAACTCTCCATAATAAATCTCAACTTCACAATGATTTACCAAACACCTTTACTTAAATTACTAATTAAATAACTAAAAGTGTATTGAGCCAAACCGAACTTAAATGGGCTATAAAGAAAACTAACCCTCAGACCATACACACAACTACTTCAAAACTCCCTTTGCTAGCTAGCCCCTTTCCCAAAGTTTTAGCCTGAAAAAACAGTGAAATCTACACAAAGTTTTATTGCAATCATACAAGGGTTACATTAGGTCAAATACAACAAATACTATGATGCAATTTTACATTTATTAAACTACAGTTCAAAGCACAAATTTACACATTCTAAATACACTAAACGTATCTAATGAAGTCACACTGGTCTTCCACTCACATGTGATATATCTGGGTGAAAGCCATCAACTTTACAGGACTTTTAACAGGAACCCTTATTATAAAAACTGTGTACTTGTATGTAAACGATTGGATGGGGAACCCAATCAATGGGCTTCCATCTCCACCAAGTCATCCATTGTGTTGCATATTTTATTTTAAACGCTTAAGGGGTGGGTCAAACTGGTTTGTTTAAATCTGATACATTATCTAAATCCCCCATTATCCCGATGAATTATAGATGAAAGCTGATTTTGTCTGGTCCCCAAATAGCTATTACTATGAATTTGTTTCCAAGATAATTAACAGAGTAAAAGATTGATTGAATTTTTTTCCCCACACTGGAATGTAGACCAGACAAGCTTAACCTGCGACTTCAGATCTAAAGAAGCGTTAATGCCTGTTTAAGCTTCAGTGGAAAAGCTGTCTTCTTGGCTCAGCTGAATGCAAGAGGGTGCAAAGAAGAAGTTTTTCATCATTACGTCTGAAGTAATTCCAGCATCTTGCATCTCATACCTGTATTTAAGAAGAAAAAGGCAGAAGTTGGGATTTAAATATTACAAAACCACACAACGGAAACAGGTAACAACTAGTCTTCCACAGTCCCCCCCTAAAAGGTTATCTGTTTCTGGGACAGGGAGATGGCTGGTAAAGTGCTTGCCATGTAAACCTGATAATTAAGTTTAATCTCTGAAACCCCTGTTAGAAGGGGGGTCTGGGTGTCTGGAGGAGTAAGGTTAAGAGAACATTGGTTAAGAGTCCACACAGCTCTTGTGGACACTGGGGTCTGACTTCCTACACTTGTGCTCTTTCTTTCTTTCTTTCTCTCTTCCTTCCTCTCCTCCCTCTCTCCCTCTCTCCCTCCTCTCTCTCCTCTCTCTCTCTCTTTCTGAGACAAGGTCTCTTATACTGAGCCTAAAACTCAACAATTGGCTTAGAGTGGCCGTCCAGCCAGCTCCACAATCTACGCATTTCTGCCTCTTTCTTCTTACCCCTCCATTTCCCAACTCAGTTCTTCGAGCCCATGTGGCAGTCATCTCCTTAGCCCCAAGATTCATCTACCTTTAATGCAAAGGCTGAATACACATTAAGAAGGAACTATCAATGGGCATAATGGCACATGCCTTTAATTCCAGATGATCTTTAAACCTGACAGAGGCAGCTGTACCTCTGAATTCAAGGCCAGCCTTGTGTGAATAAATACTGAGTTCTAGGACAGCCAGGATTATGTAAGAGACCCTGTCTCAAACAAAACAAAAACAAGAAAAAGGAAACTATCACTTTTATCTGTAACAGTGTGAAATTTACATGAAATGTTCTTTTCAAATGATTCTTCTTTGTATTACTTCAAGTTTTGCATCTGTTTGTTACATAAGGTATTAGCAAATCCAAAACGTCACTTCCAATACCCTATCTGCTTTTTTTTTTTTTTTTTGGTTTTTCGAGACAGGGTTTCTCTGTGTAGCCTTGTGCCTTTCCTGGAACTCACTCTGTAGACCAGGCTGGCCTCGAACTCACAGAGATCCGCCTGGCTCTGCCTCCCGAGTGCTGGGATTAAAGGCGGGCGCCACCACCACCCGGCCCTATCTGCTTTTAAATAAAATAAAATCACCTTACCAATCACTGAATGACATCATGTAATAAATAGCTGGCCTCTGAAAATCATTAAAAGCAGATGGTTCATGGAAAGAATCTGCTCCCATGTTATCAAAGATAAGCCAATCTCCCACATTCAGCTCAGGAAGAAGGCAGCTTTCTACAATTTGATCAAGCTCATCACAGGATGGACCCCAAAGGCTGCTTGTAAACAGAGGCTCATCTTCCTTGTATTTCTGTAGAAAAAGAAAATTTATCAAATTCTTTCAGGTACTGAATCTGCAGGTGAATAAAAAGCAATTTCAGTTTCTCAGATCTCATACATCTATGGGAGATTAAGGGTCAGGTATACGTCTCAATTGTTACTATGAACTTCACAATAAGGAAATAAACTGAAGAGAACAGAATGTGAATCCTACAAAAACACTCCAAACATGGTAAACAGGCGAGGTTTAAGGAGGCGGGATTCCTGGTGACTGAATCTAGGATAGGCAAATGGCCTGAGCTGGACTGATGCACTGCATTAAAAACTTGTTTAAAAAAATTACAATTTATTCCTTCGTGTATGGTGTCTGTGTGCGCGTGCGTGCTTGTGCGTGTGCACTCAGGAGTGAGTGTAAGGCTGAAGGACAGAGGACAAACTGCACCCATCAGGCCACGGGCCCCATGGCCTAGCGCCTTTACCCACTAAGCCATCTCAGCTGCTCATTTTTGTTTTTTTGCACTATCAAAGACGTTTTGGAAAAACAAATGAACAAACTTGCCTTGTGAACCTCTGGAATGGTATTTAAGTCCTCAGAAAGTTTACTCGCAAAAGAACCATAAACACCATCATTCACGTAATACACGAAGGCTGGCTCACCACTCCCGTTTTTGTCTACTGAAATCAAACAGTGAAGAGGGACATGAGAACGACAACGACACATGAGCACACCTCACTCACCACACAGCACCCTACTCACTAACCCGAGTGCACGAGGCCCACCGTCGTGCACACCTCACTCACCACACAGCACCCTACTCACTAACCCGAGTGCACGAGGCCCACCGTCGTGCACACCTCACTCACCACACAGCACCCTACTCACTAACCCGAGTGCACGAGGCCCACCGTCGTGCACACCTCACTCACCACACAGCATCCTACTCACTAAGCCCGAGTGCACGAGGCCCACCGTCGTGGTCCGTGTCAGCAATCCCAGCATCCCCCACAGAGAATACTTAGCTACACAGACTTCCTGGTCAGCCTGAGCTTCCAGAGAGTAAGTTCTGGTTTCCAAATAAATTAAAAAAAGTCAAACCCAGAGGGCTGGCGAGATGGTGCAGCAGCTGAGAGCATATGCTGCTGCTTGGTTTTCCAGAGGACCCCAAGTTCAACTTCTATTACCCTTGAAAAGCCACCACAACTGGCTATCACTCCAGCTCCAGGGGATCCCACACCTCTGGCATCTTAGGCACCTATGCTCACTTTAGCAAACACACACACAAACCACACATGCACACACAGGCGGGTAAAAATCTTAACAAAAACCATTCAAAACAAAAACTAGTCAAGTACCCATCCATCAAGTCCAAATCTGACACCACCAATATTAGAACAGACCATGAGAATACTCCAAAACCCTGGCGTGAACCCAACCAAACCAAACAAACCTACCCTTCAAAAATGTCAGGAAAAAATACAAAAGAGCCAGGCAGTGGTGGCGCACGCCTTTAATCCCAGCACTCAGGAGACAGAGGCAGGCGAATCTCTGAGTTCAGACCAGCCTGGTCTACAAAGTTGAGTTCCAGGATAGGCTCCAAAAGCTACACAAAGAAACCCTATCTCAAACAAACAAACAAACAAACAAAACAAACCCTGAAATCTAACAAAGACAAAAGAAAAAACAGTAAAGAATAGCAGTCAGGAAGTCAATTTTTCCCTAGTGGAAAAAACAAAATAAAACAGGTCTTATGAATGTAAACTGTATTTCTACAATGACTCAGGGCAGTTCTGTTGGTTTGACATGAGGGCGGGTTTAAAGAACACTCAGATTCCCCATCGGAGACATGATGGTGGCAACAGGCGTTTAGGGTAAGAATCACACGGTCAAAGTTGCATCTGAAACATGAGATAAAAACTTTGTAACTTACCTCCAGAGGAAAATTTATTATTTTCAACAACTTTCTTAGCAATAATATTAACTGCAAGTGTAAACGCAGAAGATACATAGTAGCTTCCAGGTTCTGAAATTATCTGAATGCCAGATCCTTCAGGGAAGTAAATATCCAACAGAGGACTGATAACATGATTAACCTGTGGGTTTTAAATTACAGATTGAAGTTTCAATACTGGATCATGGAAGTCTAGGTTGACTAGCTATTAACTAAAGTTACCAAAGACAACCAAACAATTCCAATTACAGAACAACAAACCCAGCTACTTAGCAGGTGTCTTCGATTAGGCAAGCTTTTACATCAGCTTTTGTAGTAATAATCACAATAGCAATAATTTAAAAAAGCCACATCAATTCTAATTCTGTGTCTGACTGGTGGTAAAGGAGTAAAATTTCAATTCACAGCTTCTAGACACTGCAGAATGAAGGCAGGAGTGATGTGCATCTTGCTATTACAGCCATGAAGTTGGGAGTTCACGTGACATCTAATATATAAAACACAACTCAAACAATACTTCTTGTGGGCTATGGGGGTAGCTCAGTGGTAGAACACTTGTGTAGCTTGTGTGAGACTGAATTTGATGCTTAGCATATCAATAAATCAGTAAGCAAAGGGAGTGCCTACTCTGTGATATGATAGGGCCCTTATTATTTGAAATGTTAAAGTAATTTAAGTTAGGTCTAATTTCCTGTTTGTTTTCTTATAAATTATAAGACAAGTGTTACAACAGGATTTAGTTTGTGTTAGCATAAAAATTCTGGTCTATGTACCTACCAATTATGTAGCAAAGAAAGACTATCATCCCAATTTGGCCACCCCTGAAAAAACTTACCTCTTCCAACTGAATTTCAGTTCCTGTGAAGCCTCCACCGATGTCTAACATGTTCATTGTAAAGCCAAATTCTCCCTAAGGAAAAAAAAAAACAACTTCATGCTTCAAAATTGTAATACATACAAATATAAAATTAATCCCAGCATACAAATATAAAATTAGTAAACAAAAAACCCTTCTTCCTAGGTAGGTAAATATTTCTGAACTTCAGTGATACCAATAATTACTTCTGTTTCCTTAACTTTTCAAAACTTTGTTTTGTTTTTCAGACGAGCTAACCCTAACCCTAACTTTATGTAGACTGGCCTCAAACTGATCCTCTTGCTCCGGCCTCCTGAGTACAGGTTACTAGCAGATTTCTGCTACCAAACTCAGCTTCATTGGTTCTTACTAACAGGAACAGAGTAAATGTTACATACATTTTTTTTTGCCTCCTCATCCTTGTTTGTTTTCTCTCTTAAGACATTCATTAAATTTCTACTTCAATCTCTTGTCCACTTAAAATACAACATTATTGTGTGTCACCCTCAAGCTTCCTAGTAATAAAATCAGGAAGCCAAGTGTGGTGGTACATGCATTTAATCCGAGAGGCACAGGCAGGCAGATATGAGGCCAGTCTGGTCAACAGAGCAAGTTGGTCCACAGAGGACAGCCAGGATTACACAGAGAAACCCTGTCTCAATAATAATAATAATAACAACAACAACAATAATAAAAAGTATGAAGGACTGGAGAAATGGATCAATGGTTAAGAGAGAGCATCTGCTATTCTTATGGAGGACCTGGGTTCAGTTCCCAGCTTAAAGCATCCTTAGCATTAGTTCCAGGGGCTCCAACAACACCACATTCTCATCTCCATGGGCACCACGCATAAGCATGGTGCATGTATATATATACACACACACACACACACACACACAAGCAAAACACATACATAAAGCCTAAAAATTTTTAAAAGTTGTGTGTGTTGTACTAACTTTAAACAGTAATTCATACTAGTTGAAAATGATTCTGAAATAACACCCTAGTTTAAAGTAAAAGAATTAGAGAACTTACAGCCATGTCAAACACACACCGAGCATCAGATAGAGCATGCACATATACTTGATATTCTTTGCAAGCACTTGAAACATGAAATCTGAAAGAAATAAAATAGTAATAATTTAAAGCAGCGTGGCTTTGTGGCACTTTCTGTAGTTCCTTTCAATTATCTATCACTCAGTATAATGACACTATTGAGTGCATTTCTTAATTTTATCAAATATTTGATGCAAGGCTATAGAATCTACCCAATATAATGATGCAATTTTTGGACAATACTGTAAGTCTATAAGCAAAAGTCAGGTGTCCGTGACTGTGCTGGCTAGTTTTGTTTTTGTTTGCTTTAACTTGACACAAACTAGTTACCTAGGAATGGGGAAACTCAAGTGAGGAATCGCCTCCATCAGATTGGCAATGTGTGTACGTTGTCTGTGGGGCACAGGGGCACATTCTAAGCCCACTATGAATAATGCCACTTATATGGATAGTATAAGAAGACAAGCAGAGTGAGCCAGGAAGCATTCCTCTGTGGTCTCTGCTTCAGTTCCTGCATCTAGGCTCCCGTCTTAAGTTCCTACCTTGGCTTTCCCTGATTGACCAGTAAGGCAAATAAACCTTTCCTCCCCAGCTGCTTATCATAGCACAGAAAGCTAACACAGAACAATCATACTTTGCTATGGAATAATCCTGTTGTGTACTTTGGTGATGTATTGTGTTCTCAATATATTGTGTATGCTAATAAAGTTTAATCTGAGGATCAGAGGAAAAAGCCAGCCACCATAATAAACAGAGCTTAGGCAATGGTAGCACACGCCATTAATCCTATCACTCGGGAGGCAGAGATCCAAGTGGATCTCTGTGAGTTCAAGGCCACATTGAGAACAGACCTAGGTGTGGTGGTACATACCTTTAATCCCAGCACTAATCATAAAGGACAGACAAATAGGAAGTGACAGAGCTGGGCAGGAAGAGGAAGTGATGCAGCTGGATGGAGAGAGGAAATGAGATGGCAGAGCAGAAAGGCACATAGGCGTGGGTATACAGGAAGTAGGTCTCTTTGGAGACTGAGGTGTTGGTGAGGTGAGGTTGTCTGTGGCTTGTCCTATTCCTCTGATCTCTCAGTTTTTCACCCCAATGTCTGGCTCTGGGTTTTTATTAATAAGATCGTTTATCAATTCACCTTACAGTGTACTGTAAAGATGTGTTGCTCTCATTAGTCTAATAAAGAACTAACTGGCCAAGAGCTAGGCAGGAAGAGGTTAGGTGGAAGAAGAACCAGACTAAGAGAACACTGGGATGAAGAAGGGGCAGATCACCAGGAGGTGCAGAGATAGATAAGAAATATGGGTTAATTTAAGATATCAGAGTTAGGTAGTAACAAGCCTAAGCGATTGGCTGAGCATTTATAATTAGTAAGTCTCTGTGTAGTTATTTGGGAGCCATGGATATGTATATGGAAAGTAACAAGCACCAATCGAATGACATTAAACTCCTTCATTTGAATACTGAATCACCTGACTTAGTTTTAGACTAGCTGGGCTAGAGAGTGAGACTCTGTCCTAAACAAACTACCTACCTGAATCTTGGTCTCCTCATATTAAACAAAAAACAACAACAAAAAGATGAAGCCCATAGTTTTGTTTTTTAGAGACAAGGTCTTTTGTAGATGCTGGGATTGTAGGCACCACCATACCTGGCTTCAAAGTCTGACTTATTGCAGTGCCAATGAAGGATTGAGAGAAAAAAAAAAATCATTAGAAATAGAAACAAAATGAAACCTACAACTTATAGGCTGAATGCCATTTTAACAAGTATTAGAATTGGGAGCAAATTCCTCCCATTTAAATTAAAAGGTGATTTAGCTGGTGGTACATTCATCAACAGTTCCAGCATTTGGGAAATTAAAGCAGAATCTCAGGCTCAGTCCAAACAGAGCTACATTGTAAGACTGCTTCAAAACACTGAAAGAAAATCAGTAAGAGAAGATGGTGTAGAGATGGGATGTGGTGCAGTAATGAAGCAAAGGCTTGAGTCCAACGCCTCACATAGCAAAACCCAAGCCAACAGGTTTCATCACCCTGTGCTAGCATGTCGCTTTACTAGGAGGAAGGAGATAGATAACCTCACTGAACAGTATAGAAAAGACATGTTTAGCCGGGCAGTGTGGTGCACACCTTTAATCCCAGCACTCATGGGGCAGAGGCAGGCAGAGCTTGCCGAGTTTGAGGACAGCCCAGTCTACATAGCTGCATTAGCTAGCTAGCTCCAAGACGACATAGAAAGATTCTGTCTAAAAAAGCAAAAAAAAAAACAAAAAAACCCAGACATCTTTATTCTTTTCTGTACTAAAAAAAATATTATAAATACTCACTTCACCCCAATTATTTGGACATCAAGTTCCTTGGCACATTCCAAAAGATGCCTACAGTTCTTCAGTGTAGTGCCGAACTTCATGTTACCATCTTCACCTCCAATATTATCCTCTGTTGCAATATGTAGTAAGACCCTAAGAGAAGGGGAAGATGATTGGGGCAGAGTTGGTTTACATCATCATCAGCATATGTGAAGCCTGAAGATTGTAGGAAGTATGTTGATTATGTTGCCAGTGTTCGCAAATCCAGCGATGGATGAATCAAGTGAACCTAATGAAAAACAATCCTGTATAGAGAAAAAACTAGCAATTAGGGCCTAAGGCATGACGCTTGCACGGATGGGATTTTGGAAAATGCAGCAAAGTTAAAACTCTGTTGTAGCAGCAAGATTGTCAGTTGGGCTCTGTAATAAAAGATGACATTACTTCCAAATGAAGTCCATCAGTCCATGAATCCACCAAAAAGACTAAATTGAACAGCAATGCCATCAATGCCTTTCAATAAAAATAGTAGGGTTTTTTTTTTAATTACTAAAATTCCCAGATTGTTCTAGCTAGGTAATCTTTACCAAATCTCTCAAATCCTAAGTTTCTAATGGGAAAAACTAACGTTTTGGTCATTGCATGCATATCAACACCATCCCTGACTCATGTCTAGTGATTTTTTTTTTTTTTTTTTTTGGTTTTTCGAGACAGGGTTTCTCTGTGTAGCTTTGCGCCTTTCCTGGAACTCACTTGGTAGTCCAGGCTGGCCTCGAACTCACAGAGATCCGCCTGGCTCTGCCTCCCGAGTGCTGGGATTAAAGGCATGCGCCACCACCGCCCGGCTGATTTCTTTTTAAACTACTAACAACTAAGATAAGATGATTTATACTGACTAAACAGTATCAGGAGTTAAGTAATGATCAGCTGCTAAAAAGCTACAAATGCATAAATGCTGTTTAAAACTCCTTATAGTTAGACTCAATTATCAAATAATGCCCACTAAGCCAAAGCTTGTCTTCTGGAGATCACAGGGCATATCTTTTTTCAGAAAATAACTGTTTCTCTATAACTTTTCTCCAAAGGTTTTCAAGGTAATAAATGCCTGAACACCACTAAAGTCACCAAGTTAGACCAGTGGTTCTCAGCCTTCTTCATGTTATAGTGACCCCCAACTATAAAATTAATTTCATTGCTTCTTCATAACTGTAACTTTACTACTGTTATGAACCATACGCAAATATCTGTGTCTTCCAATAGTCTTAGGTGACATCTGTGAAAGGGCTGTGTGACACCCTCCAAAGGGGTTGAGACTCGAAGATTGAGAATCTAAGCTTTTAGGAGCACACATGCTATGACCTTAATTTGATGATCATACCAAATTTTCTTCCATGAGCTAATAAGACAAATCTCAGAACGCTTTATGTATCTCGTCCATAAAAAGGATCAAAAGTAGGCAGAAAAGAAAATGCTGTTAGCATTTTTCATAAATTCTAATAAGGTTATTCTACAATACAGATCACTGGCTCTGCCATTAAAGCTCCCCCCTTCTCTAGGGGGACAAACTCTAATACTAATTAGCAACAGTATTTTCAAGTTGGGTATATACTTACTTGGCATTTGGGTGATTCCTTGCAATTTTCTTTAATTCAATTTCATTGTCACATGTCATGATATTTACTCCAACTTTCGCTGCATACTTTATCTGAGACACCTGCTTACAAGGACTTGTGTAAATGATGTTTTCTGGAGATACACCCAATTCTTGGACTAGGGCCATTTCATTCTGTAACAGATTTAACACTGTCATTTAACAGTAAAGTTTTAATTGCTTTTGAGTACCTTATCCTCTTTCCCTGCAAATGCTGAGGACTGAAATCAGAACCACTTACATTCTAGACAGTTCCATATATTAGTTATTTTTGGTTAAACCAATATAATGTCACAGAATTCTCATTTTGGTAATGCTTCCCTACCCTGTGTTTAAAAAAAACAAACAGGATCAGTGAGATAGCTCAGCACGTCACCCAAGTTTGATTACCCAAGTTCAATCCCCTGAACCCACATGGTAGAACAAAAGAACAAATCCCCCATGAGTTGTCCTGGCTCCACAGGTGCACCATGGGACTTGCAAACTCCCACATGCAAATTTAAATTTAAAAACAAAATTATTTAAAGTGTGCGTGTGCTCATGGAGAGTAGAAGTGTCCACAGAAGACAGATACACTGGATCCCCTGGAAAAAGGTAGTTGTGGGCTGCTGGGTATAGGTATTAGGAATCAAATTCAGGTCTCTTCTGCAAAAGCAGTATGTACTATTAACCGTCATCCCCAGTCCCACAAAAAGCTTTTTAACAAGAGCAATCTCATAGTTTACGAACATTTACTGTAGTCAGAACAGGACTGGGGATGTAGTTCAGTTGCTACAAAGTGTTTGCTTAATTAACATGTTTGAAGTCCTGAATCTGATCCACAGAACCATATAAATTGGGTGTGGTGGCCCATACCTGTCCCTAGCATCTGGGAGGTAGAGGCAAGAGGAGCAGAAATTCAAAGCCATCTTCAGCTACATAGGGAATTTTAAGATGAGCTTGAACTACAGATCCTGTTTCAAAAGAAAAGTACCAAGAGAGAAAAGAGAAGAAGACAAGCTAAGAACGAAGACATTTTGTTTTGAGACAGGGTTCCACACACCCCAGGTTGGCTCAGACTCACTGTGCCACTCAGATTAGCCTTGAAAATGCATCTCTCTAAACAATGCTGGGATTAAAGGACTCAAACATCACAGCCAGCTATAAAGAACACTGCTACTCTTGCAGAAAACCTAGGTTTGATTCCCAGCATTCACTATTTACATGGAAGCTTACACCTTCCACAGCTCTAGTTCTAGGGGGATCTAACACCCACTCTGGTCTCTGTGGATACCAGGCAAGCAATGTGACACATACATACATACAGGTTAAAAAAAAAAAAAAAAAATCACATAAAATAAAAAAAATAAATCTTTCTTAAAAATTTCTTGATTAAGAACGAAGTTTCTCCAAAGTCATCACAGTGTAACATCCCTTTCATCAATACACCTGAAAAATAACTATTGTCTAATGTCCATGGTGGATTTGGTGGTTTGAAAGAAAATGGCCCCCAAAGGGAGTAGATTGGGAGGTGTGGCCTTGTTGAAGGAAGTGTGTCGCTGTATAGGCAAGCTTTGAGGTCTCATATATGCTCGAGCCATGCCCAGTCAGACAATCTGCTTCCTGTTGCCTTCTGATCAAGATATAGCCAGCACCATGTCTGCCTGCATGATGTCATGTCATGTGCCGTCATGGTGATAATGGACGGAACCTCTGAAGCTATAAGTTGCCACCACAACTAAATGTTTTCCTTATAAGAGTTGCCGTGGTCATGGTGTCTCTTCACAGCAATAGAAACCCTAAGACACTGGATTACATTTAAATAGTTATTTAAAAACCCACACAAACTTTTTGCATTTGTTCTACTGGTGAGTGTAGCGAGGAGTTAGTATTTTAAATCCTGCTGTTAGTAGAAGAGAAATACTTACTTTGCTGGAACAAGCAAACCCAGTTCCGAGAGCCGCCAGGATCTCGAGCACAGCTGGGGTGGAGTTGCACTTCACTGTGTAAAAGGGCTTTATCTGAGCCACCAGACTCTGCCACTGGCTGTGCTTCTTCACGATCTTCCCAAGGTCCCCCACAAAGAAAGCATTTTTTCCTGTCTGTTAATGATAATGAAAAAGAAAAAGGGTTTAAAAAAGAAAACCATTGAAAAGATACATGGGAAAGATACATGCGCTTAATTAAGTAGTCATGGGTGGAATTTCCACTAAATACTCCATGACTATAACGGTCAAATAGAATGGATGGAAGTTGTATTTCTATCTGACCTGAGAAAAGCAAGTAACTAACGTCATCAGGATTGAACTAAGAGTTTTCTAACAATATGGTGTCAACAGCTTTTGTTTTCAGGAGTTTCTAGCATCATCCAGTGCTACTTCCTCTCAAGAACCTGATGACAAGGTAGAGAAAAAAGTGAATTTTGGTAGGAGACTTGGTCATATTTGTGAGGGCACTTTTTTTGGTCTCTTGGTTTTTCAAGACAGGGTTTCTCTATGTTAACAGCCCTGGCTGTCCTGGAACTCACTCTGTGGCCCAGGCTGTCCTTGAACTAACTCAGAGATCCGCCAGGCTCTGCCTCCTGAGTGCAGGGATTAAAGGCGTGCACCACCACCACCCCGCCCAGCCAGTACTTTTACTGAAAACTAGAGTAACGTTAGAACTCTTCAAACTTGGAGAACACAAGAAATCAATCTTTCACAAAGAAACAAAAACTTTGCCATACTATTCACATAAATAAATGGAAACAATCACACAACAAAATGAAAACAAATGACTTAAAGTATTAATACAGAGGGTTCTGGGGCAGTTTCCTTGGAGAGTAGACAGTAAACGAGAACAAGTGATCAAATATGAAAATAAAGCTGCAAACGTTAACTGGACCAAGTCATTTTATTAGATCAATGCCTGAGAAACATAACCAACAACCTGCTTTCAAGTTTGGAAAGATGTCTGCACACTTACCAGGGTATGTTCATAAACATAGTTATCAATAACATTTCCAAGGTTTGTTCCTTCATCCAACAGGCCAACGGAGTAGTTTGCATCGTCAATAAATCCTTTCATCTCAGCCGTATTCCACAAAGCCGAAAGTCATAAACCAGGAAAAACAAGAGACGGGCCACCAAGCCTATGTCTGGGTCCTTAGAATATGCAACAAACTGTCAAAATAGAAGTTAGATCAAAGTCTGCATTTATTTCAATACGTAAAACATGATGCATTGAGTCATTAAACACTTCCAGAAACACTGGACTTTTAACACTGTTTCACAAGTAAATTCAATGAAGTTAGGGAGATGGTTTAGTCAGTAATGTTCCCTCTATGTAAGCACTAGGACCTGAATTCCTATCTCCAGCACCCACATTGAACTGTCAGGTGTGATTAGATGCAAGTAATCCTAAATCTGGGGAGCCAGTCAATCTAGCTAATGGATGAGCTTGGTAAGAAAGCTTATCTCAGAGTAAAATGGAGCCAGGTGGAGGTGACACACACCTTTAATCCCAGCACTAGGGAGACAGAGGTAGGTAGTTCTCTGTGAGTTTGAGGACAGCCTTGTCTACAGAGTGAGTTCCAGGACAGGCTCTAAAGCTACAAACAGAGAGAGAGAAAAAGAGAGAGAGGAGAGAGAGAGAGAGAGAGAGAGAGAGAGAGAGAGAATGGGCAGTGCCTAAGATACCCAGTGTTGATATCTGATCTACATAGTCACACATGTCTACACGCACAAAAAGGCCAGGTATACAGGCATATAATCCCAGCACTTGTGAGGTGGAGACAGGAGGGATCAAGAGTTCAAGGATAGCCTTGGCCACTTAAATAAATCCCTATCTCCCACATTACCACATAATTAGATGCAGATAAAAAATTAAAAGTTCGCCGGGCGGTGGTGGCGCACGCCTTTAATCCCAGCACTCGGGAGGCAGTGCCAGGCGGATCTCTGTGAGTTCGAGGCCAGCCTGGTCTCCAAAGCGAGTTCCAGGAAAGGCGCAAAGCTACACAGAGAAACCCTGTCTCGAAAAACCAAAAAAAAAAAAAAAAAAAAAATTAAAAAAATTAAAAAATTAAAAGTTCAATATAACTTATTAAAAAGGCAATCCCATACATGTCCTATGACTTAACACTGTAAACTAAGTATAGATACTTGTAGCCATACTGAGTTCCAATACAGCCAAAGCTGACCCTGTCTCAAATAAACAAACAAAAAAATAAGTACAGATGCTTATATTCTTTTTTTTTGGGGGGGAGGGGTTCAAGACAGGGTTTCTCTGTGTAGCTTTGCGCCTTTCCTGGGACTCACTTGGTAGCCCAGGCCAGATACTTATATTCTAATAAAATTCTAGACAGTTGGGCTTGGTAGCTCATGCTAGTAATCCCAGCACTGGGGCACTTGGAAAGCCAAGGCAAGAAAGATTACCGTGTTTTAGGCTATCCAAAACTGTACAAAATGAGACTCTGCTTCACACAAACTTGTAAAACACACACACACACACACACACACTCTCTCTCTCTCTCTCTCTCACTCACAGGGTAGGTAAAATGGTACTCTTACAGCAATGTAGGTCACTTACAAGGTTGTGACTTGGTGAAATGATTTGAATAGGCACCAACCCCGCTGGCTTCGAGTGATGTCATTTAGTAACTTCTCAAACAGTAGTTGTAACATGCCCCAGCATTTGAGAGGTGACAGCAGCAGGATCCTAAGTTCAAGTTCTTCCTCAACCACATAAGGAGTGAAGCCAGCCTAGGAGACCCTTGTCTAAATAAAACAGACAACACACACAACTGTGTGTGTATGCACATGCATGCATGCACAAGTAAGTGCTCTCTAAAACTGAACTGTCCAAAATGCAAAACTAAGTCATAGATGGCTGTGTGGTGGTACACCCCTATACTATCAGCTCTTGGGAACCCGAGGCAGGGAGCATTCCTGCTAGTCTGAGGCCAGGTATGAGCTAGCTAGCCCGAGATACATAGCAAGATGCTTTTTATTTTCATAAAACAAAACAGGCAATTGATATAGGCCAGGTACTGTAAATGAACTTTGTTTTATTTATAGTCTAGCTGGCCCCAATTTTCAAAGGGTCTTCAGGACAAATCCTCTTCTGACTCAATCAATCAAATAAACCTTCACTCTTCCTCTGGGTTCAGGAAAATACTTCTCTGGGGTTGCATACCCTGACATAATAGCTGGAACTTCCTTGCTGAATTTCACGGTCCTTGGGTTACCTCAGGAAACGACAGCATCAACATGGTAGACTACTAATGGACACAGAGCAGCTGCCTCACCGAAACTGCCTTGCTTCCTTCCCACTGCTCCAGCTCCCTGCCTACCTTCTCATAGTGGCACTCCCATCCACATAGCCCTTTGCACAGAGAAGGAATCTAAGTGCCTGCTGTCTAGACTCTCCACTCCACTTTGCTGATGTAAGGGCGATGGCCTGCTTCCTGCTGGCACTGACAACCATATCCAGATAAGAATTCAACAGGAAGTGGTCTGAAGACCACTGTCCAAGGCATCACTAACCACAATTAACTAATGACAGTGTTTAAGAAATCTGCCTACCCAAGAATACGGAGAACTCAGCTAATGACCTATGCAACAACCCTTGCCAACTCCTAAGAGACTGGCCTAGCTATGACAGATCGGCAGCGGAAGGTTCATGGGTTTGAAGTCTCTATGGCTCTGAATGAAGCTGAAGTGAAGATTTTCATGCAATGGATAGAATTTCCTTTGTCTTTTGTTACAAATTTAAAAGCATCATGCCTTGCATAATATAACCATTTGGTGAGCATTTGGGATCCGTTTTAGTCCTTCATACAACAGACATTAAAACCCGAGACAAAACAACACAGACATGGACAGCCTTTCTCAGGTGCTCGGTTCCTTCTGCCACTCCCCGACCCCATCGCCCTGTTTTAGATATCACCTTGGGTGACAGCCTGAACATAGACTCCATTCAACGGCTCTTAAGCAGTGTCCGCTTTTTTGACTACATCAAAACCAACACAATATCAATAAGCTGTAGAATTAGTGAAATTTCATGAAACACAATAACATCCAGTTTAAACCTGGAAGGCACTAGCATTCATTTCCAAGACAACTACATTTGGTTCAATAAATAAGTCTCTTGCTATGATAGAGACTAAAAACTAAGGATGGCTTTCTTTTATTAAGAGTTTAGTTTAAATGTATAGGACGCAGTGGAGAGAAATCACTGCCTAGACATTCTCCAAGTGACGCTACACTAGAGCCGAAATAAACCTCCCTTGAGACTGGACAGTTCAGGCTAAGGATGAACATTGTTTGAAGCAGTATAACTCCAGCTAGAACATCAATTTTAGGGATATGATCAACCAGGCACTACGAGCAATAGAATGAAAGTTACTCCATCAAAAAGATGAATGTTAAGGTAAACATTAGAAAGAGTAAGGGCAAGGAACTTCCAATTAAATTTTCACCACCTGATTGTCAAACAGTCAGCTTTATTTAATAGCCTCTCCCAAACACACACATGTTCAGGCGAGGGCTGTCTGCCTAAGACTGTTAGAAAGATGGTGTGTTTGCACACACCCTTAATCCTGGCACTCAGGAGGCAGAGGCAACCTGATCTTGTGAGTTCAAGGGCAGCATAATCTACCCAGGGAGACCCTGTCTCTATAAAGTAAAAAAAAAATTCTGATTACCATATACCCAAAACCACAAAAACAAATGTAAATGTGGTACTGATGTTATTTGATTTCCTTACACTGAGAACCACAATAAAATAACTAAGATCAATACTATAAAGAAGCTTTCATGTATTTATCTTCATTTCTGAGATTCCCACAAACTACGAGTCCAGAGAGTCCAGACCAGAGTCTCAGGGACATGTGGACAATGAACTCCATATTAGAAGAGTTCTAGCGGGGGTGGGGTGGGGTGTGTGTGCACACCTTTAATCCCAGCACTTGGGAGGCAGGGGCAGGCAGATCTCTGGGTTCAAGGTCTACAGAGCAAGTTCTACGACAGCCAAGGTTATACAGAGAAACCATGTCTCCAAAAACAAAAATGAAAAATAAATAAAAAGTTCTGATTTTTTGTTTTTGCAGTCTGGGCTCAAACTCTGCCTTCCATATCCCTAGCCATATTGGAAGGTCTTAAACTAAGTGCATGGCAACACAACCAAGTCTCTGTGTAATTATGAAGTCCACCTCCCAGAGCTTGCAGTGTAGCTCAGTTTCTAAAGTCCAGCCTAGTAAGCACCAAACTTTGGTTTGATTCCCCAGCACAACACAAAGCAGGTATGCTGACTCGCCTATAAGCCTAGCACTGGTGGGGCCAAGGCTGGGGGACCAGAAGCTTAAGCTCTTCCTCAGTTTACGTGAGTTCAAGACCAGACTTGGCTGCATGAAACCAGTCACAACAAAAAACTAACAAAAGCAAATCTATCTTCTCCAATCTTAAAAGACTGTTAGAAGGCCGACTCTGCAGCCTTATCACACAAGTAAGTGACAAACTCAGCTACCAATTACTATTAAATTACATGCTAGGTCCAGAAAAACTGGAAGAATATGCCACAGGAGACCAACTTTCTAAAATACTCTTGAATCAACAAACTCAAAATGTCCTTGAGCTGGGGGGAGGGGGTAGGTGGGTATAGGACCAGCTCAGTTGGTACAGTGCTTGCCTAGCATGCCTGAGGCTCAGATTCAATCCCTGGACCAGCATAAACAGGGCATGGCAGCACACACCCACAGTCCAGTACTAAGCAGAGGCAGGATTGGGAGTTTCCAGTAATTGCTGGCTACATAGTAAGTTGGAGGATAGTCTGAGCAGCACAAGACAGCATCCCAAAGTCATCTGGCAGCTCAGTATTTTAAACAATTGAAAAGGGATTAAGTAGAGTCTTGGTGCCCTGAACTCTCATCTTTTCTACCTCCACTACACCATATTTCACTGAAGGAGCCAGAAAATGCAGTATAAACACTCAGGAATGCTTTCAACTTTGAGTTTTAAAAAACATCTGCTTACTTGTGTGTGTGTACACCTTGCAGGAGTCAGTTCTCTTTCTACCATATGGGTTCTGGGAATTTAACTCAGGTTGTAAGGCTTGGCTGCAGCAAGCAACTTCAGTTGCTAAGCAATTTTCTTCATTTTAACAAAAGTAACTTTTTAACTCCACTCTCATAAAAGACAATTTTTTTTTGCTTTAACACAAAGTACTTGGGAGGCAGAGGCAGGAAGATCTATAAGTTCAAGGCCAGCCTGAGCTATGTGGAGACCCTGTCTCAAAAACAAAACAAACAAACAAACAAACAAAAAAAACCAAACCAACTAACTAAACAAGAATGAAGAAATAAATGTTCATGTGGTGATGGGAAGCAGGAATAGTTCATACCACATGTCAGAAAGTCCAAGTTAATCCGCCCCAAGAAGCTGTTTTCCAAACCTTTCCATTCTCTTCAGTAAGAATACAGACTTGCTTGCTGGGTGTGCTGGTGCAGGCCCGTAATCCCAGCACTGGGGAAAATCTGGACAGGACTGTTCTATTATTGTTAAATCAAGTGAGCAGAGGGTACATACAGTGAAACCCATAAGTCCAGAACAATTAATAAAAAGCATTCTCTAGTCACTACCATGTTGAAAGCTACTCTTAGCAACTAAAAACCTTTATTAATGTATGACTGAAGAAAGCTCATTTAGTGTTGCTGAAATCACAACACCACTTTTGTAAATAATTTCCTTTCGGACTCAGGGTGGAAAAAAAACTGTACCATTTCTCATTTACACCTGTATGTTGGTGTTTTGAGAATACACTCTCCATGAAGAAGCTGCCAAAAGAAACAACGGCTGTGAAGGGCCACACTCCGTTCCCTGGAGTCTGACATGAGGTGGAGTCCTCATGTCCTTCCAAAAGTAATGGTGGTGGCAGCCGGGCACTTGCCTTGTTACACACCTGCTACAAAGGCTTCTATGGTTGATTGTACTTCAGAAGAAACTGATACATCTTTCATATAATCACAAGATAATTCTGGCAGCAACAGCCCACTTGACACCAGGCTGGATGAATATGAGTCTTGGGTTTCTGAAGTGAAGACCTCCCTGGAAGTAGAACAGGGAGAGCTGAAAGGTTGAGAGCATTGTTTCACAGACACCTAATCAGGAAGCTCAACCTTAATAAAGGCCAACCGCTTTTCAACAGGACTTTTATTCACTAAACAAATGAGAACAATGTATTTTGAACTGTAGACTACTACAGTTACTGTAAAGATGCCTAACTACAAGCATTTCTACTTTATTTCATGTAAGCATTGGCTGGCTCAGCACCCAGCTTTAAAAATACACAAGAGTATCTAAGGTCCTCTCTGCATTCCACCTCCTCTAACAGAAAACGTTACTTACCACACAAGGTAACTTCGGAAGTAACTGACTAGAAACCACTAGAAGAGGCTTCTGAAGGATGACTGGTGCTAGGGGGTGAAAAGCACCAGGAAGCTATACACTGCAGAGACAGGACAGCAGAGATGCTCCAATGGGTGGTAAAAAATCGTAGTACTTTTGCAATTAATCAACCAAAAACAACCTGCATGGGGCACTCATGATATCCAGAACAGGGTTTTCCCAACACACAGTAACTGGAAAACTAATAATCGCAATAAAATAATTTTTCTAGGGATCAATCAGCTCACTATGCCTAGACCAAAAAAAAAAAAAAAAAAAAAAAAAAAATCAATGAAGAGTTATATTAAAAGAGAACAAGAATGAGCAGAAGACAA